AACTAAAGTAGAGGTTACTCTTAATATCGATGTAGATACTTTAGTGTGCACTAGTCATAGCTGCCACGTCAGCGATCCGCTCACTTGGTAGGTACAGAGTAGATGTGTTAGTTGACAGTGCCACGTCAGCAATCCGTGTGCTTGTAGGTAAGAATTGAGTGTGTTAGTTAGTGTGTTAGTTGGGTGCGCCACGTCAGCGATCGGTGTGCTTGTTAGGGTTATCCGCCACGTCATCCATCCACTAGGAGTGGGATGGATGGTGGAGATTAGATCTTATCACCTTGTACTTATTGGTGAGAGCTATATAAGGGAGAGGAGAACCATTGTTGGTATCTCTCATTTTCAGAGTTTACGTTTCTATCTTCGAGTGAACTTCTCTCTAAACTCTAGTGTTACATGGACTTCCGTAAAAATTTCTGCTGCACCTCGTCGTAATCTTAATCCCAATTCTTTTTTCACTCCTTCAACTCCTCGTCAAGCTCGTGGAAGTAGAGTGTATACTTAAAATTTAAATATTTATATCGTTTGTTTGATAACAACAATAATTTTCATATCACAAGATTGTTTCCAATTAATACAGTTCAAAGTAAAAAATACCACATTGATGTTTTCGCGTTCGCAAGCATAGATATATCCAGGCGCATTATCCATAAGTAAAAGAACAAGATGTCTTGTTTGTCTTTTGATTTCTTGAACAAAGATTTCGTTGAACCATCTCGAGAAGATTTTCATTTGATTGATTGAAATAAGGAATTGGTTAGTGTCAAACTTTGATACATGTTGTATACTTTGGATTTCCCATCAATATGCAGGGAATTTTATGTGATTTAGAAGTTACCACAAACTATCAAAGAAACACGATCTTTTGAATTTTTTTAATCTCTAGTGCTTGAAATATACTCGTTCGGCAACAATAATAAATTATCTAGTAAGCAAACAAAAAAAACAATACTGTCTCTTCCATGTTGTACACGTTCTCAGGATTGTACTGAGCAATGATGAACAATAATTTCAAGGCCAAGAGTAACCCATGATCATTCTTGTCAACCTCTGCGCGTTGTTTGTGCAAAAGCATTTTCTGCAGAACTTTACATGTACTGAAACTATCAAACCATTGCCATGAGGACTTAAAATCTGAATCAAAATTTGATAATGTAGAAGGTATGACTTCTGACTTTGTAATTGCAGGAGATGACGATACATGGACCTGACACAATGCATGGTGTAAATCCAAGTGTACAATAGTTACTCAAATTTGGAAAATTGTTCAACTAAAGTTCTAAAGCTAAACTACTTAATTTCTTCGGACAGTAAAGCTGATAGCTTGAGAATGAAATCTTGTTTCTCCCATATTTTACTTACAACACATTCGCCAATTTCATTATCATGCGTTAAAGCACGTTTGCTTGAAGAATTTTCATTTCTTAGTTTTGAAATCATCTCACATAGTTTAACAAATCTCAACTATGAAACTGAAATGAAAATTCTCCAAGCAATTTGCTTTAGCTCGGAGAATTTTCATTTCTTAATTTTGAAATGATCTCACATACTTGAGATTCGTTCGGACGGTGTTCGAATTCTTCTACATTGAAGCTCTACGCAAATATCCTGAAAAAATTGTTAAGTATGTACCTCCTGGTTAAGTACATACACAAAATTTGCTATTCAATGTGCGTACTTAAGTGGGAGACTATTGTACATTAAACAACTAATGAAATTTTTGTATATTATCAATTTGATCTTTTAGTACATTTTTAATGTGTAAATAAAAAATCGAATTTTTCAATGTTGTGAAAATCTATTGTTATATATATATTGATCTATGAAATTTTTAATATAAATTTAAATTAATAATTTGTTACAATATCAATTTTTAAATAAAAAATGAAGAAAAATCAATTAAAATGCGAATATTTATATTCCACTAGACTCAATAATTTTTATATTTATTTATCAAATAATATAAATTAGAAAAATATCAAGAATCTGTAAAACATATAACTTTGCACGCATTAAAAAGAAGTTATTTAACTTAACATGATTACACGTACCTCTATTTCAAATAAATCTTGAAATACAGGAAATAAAGAAAAACAGTTATCATTATTACATCTTTAATAAAATTGTTATTGACAAAATAAGCAAGTCTTTAACAGAGTTAGAGAAGTTGCATTTCGAGCCAAGAATGGATTTCATGTATGTCAAACTTATTTTACCCTCACTAACCTTTGACCTCCATTTACTTTCTTTTCTTACTCAATTGATGGAAAGATTATGTTCATTATTGATGACATCTTCTAGTAACGTTGAGTGTTTCTTTGGGGATTTTGCACCGAGGCAGATGTTTTTGCTAAATTGCATGCACCTTAGATCATTGCCAAATTGTCACTCCGGCACCTCTATAATCTTTGCTTTGACTAAATTGCTTCCTATATATAAGTCTCCGTGACCATGACCTGTTGATAAAGAAATGATATAAATGCTCCACATGAGCACGGTGGGGGAATCCCATATCAACATAACGGTACTAGAAGATATAGGGGACGAAGTTAATACCGTCATTATGCACCAAACGATCTGGATGTTCGAGGCCCAGCAGCCCCACATGGTAGGAAGTTGGTAATGACCAGAAATTTACCCTGCCAATAGAGGAAGTGGGTCCTTGAGTATCAAGAGCTATCGAGTCCAGTTCCACAGTCATGAATGTAGCCTCTTCTTTTATGCTCAAGATATCGTCCTCCCTGCAACTAGTTTAAGGAGCTATCACCTGAAAACACCAAGGAATCGAAAGCCGGCGGTCAGACTTCTTTCATATTCTTGCTCAAATTTCCAATATCGTCGTCCTTTACGTGAAGGCCAGGATCATGCCTAAGCCTCGGCAAGGTAAGGTAACCCTTTAGGGTTACCCGGTAAAAGTGTAAAAGGTAAGGGTAAAGGTAATACATTTGGCTATAGGGTAAGGTAAAGGTAGAGCCTCGCGGGTTACCAGGTAATTACCGGGTAACTTGTGAAAAAAAAATGTGGACATTCTTCTGCATATTCTCCTTGAACAAACCTACAACTAGATTCAGCAATATTGTGCGATGAAGTCAAGGAACTGTTTCAACTCTTTCAGACTATACTTGCGTCTGCGAAGCTAAATTTGCAGGACACTGCATGATGTTACTAGTTTGAGTAGAAAAGCCATCACTTGCTGCACTTTTGTAATCCGACGACGAGGTCTTTTAATAAAAGTCATAATAGCGTTGGCTTGAGTAGTTGTTCGGCTCAGTTATAATGCATAGATCTTCTGCCTATTTTTTATTCTAATTAGATCTGAAATTTAAAAAAAAACTAAAGAAGATATTCCTCTTGTCAACGTCAAAAGTCAGCATGACTGGGGTTCGACTTGAATCGTATGGTCGAGTGAAGGAGACTTCAACTTTATCTCTATCCGAGTGAATCAGTTGAAAATGTGTTCCACTTGGATTGAAAATTTTTGGTCAAAATGAGATAATTTAGTATCTAAAATGGGGGAAAGCCGCTTCTAATGGCTACGGAGTTCAGTACTTCATTTATACTGCATATAACAAAATAATACATGTTTCTCATGATTGAGGTATTCTCACTCCTCTATCTTTGTTTTACACACACTCTCTCAAGCACTAATGCTAAATAGGAAGTGAAGAAGAAACTTAGAAGTAATAAGTATCTGATCCATTGGCAACATTCCAATTCATGTTCCAGTACCTACAAAGGAAGTGGTTATTCATCGACAACGAGGCAGTAGACGTCTCATAGTGTTACGATAGAAGATCAACATGTAGCTTAAAAAATGCATTCAAAGAAAACCAAAAATTGCATACCCCCAGCAGATTCTTTATATGATGCGTTCAAAATTAAAACTTTTTAAATCCTTACCAGGTAACCGGGTAATTACCCTGAGGTAGAGGTAAAGGATACCATAGTGTAAAGTAAAAGGTAGAGTCCTATACCTTACCACGTTCCCTTGAAGAGGGTTAATCATGCCCAATACATGAACTTACATTTTTTGTTTTGCATTAAAAAAAAACAGTCAGCGATTCCCCTCGAGCGACAGGTTTCTATTATACGGACCTGTTCTTCATCTGATTGAGACGGTTACTACGATTTCGATCACGGTCCCCTCAGGTGAAGGTGAGTCGAGAGTCGTAAGTCAAGGCAAGAGAATCCTATGTACTTACTCTGAGCTTGTTCTAGGGAGAAGCCCACCAACAACGCCACAATCAATCCTCTGTAATAATGGGGTGCCATCTTCGTCAGTCCTTGGAATTTTCAAACGCTTATGGATCTCAAGAAATAAAAATAAATTCCGCTTCGATAACCATCGGCCGTCTTTCTCAACACCACGACGATGACGAAGAGGAGTGGAGAGAAGCTTAAGCCGGAGTTGTAGCTCCACCGTACGCCAAGTGCCAGAACGAGCTCGTTTGGAATAAACGAAGGTGAATGTGTGGATAAGTTGAATGTCTGACATGTTGGTGGTGACAAACAACGATGGCGGAGAGCTGAAAATACGGTCCTCTTAACACGAAGATCATATGTCCAAGCGGTGATTGTTTTACCTGATGCTCCACAGTTTCCAAAATAGGATAAAAATAATAGCGCGTGCTTCTTCATACACGCATGGCCGGATTAAGGAGTTAAAAAAGTAAATGTGGCACAATCCATCGCATTGGGAGTATCGTTTTCTGTCGGCCCAGAAGTACATGCACATTGAAGACATTCTCTCAGACAAGAGAGGATCTTCTTCCAGCCTCTTGGGCCTGCCAACTTCTCGGGTACCTACGCCCATATAAGAGGGACAAGGATCGTGCCAGTGGAACTGATTTGGAGTGAAGCTGGAGTGGAGTGGAGCTGCTGAACATCCTGGCCACTCCAATGTACTTGGTCAGGATACACGCAACGTGGCTACCTATCTTATCTCCGGTGACCCTTATACGACCAGCAGCCCCATCAAACTTAGCGCGATCCAGCCTCGCCTCGAGCGCTGGCCAGTTTCAAAATGCGATATTGAGGTCATAAAATTACGTAAGTGGGATGGACAATGTCCCCTGTCCCGGTGCCCATTTAGTTTAAGGTACAAGCTGTGAACCCATGGAGGGAGTGGAGAGCCCTGTGGAGAACCCTGTTGCCAAACATAAGAAATAGTTAGAAGAGAGGAGAGAGACTCATCATGTCCCCTTTGTCTCGGGTGATTAGCGATCAGATTATAAATGTTCAGTTACACCGCGACCAAATTAGAAGGACTTATCGTTGTCTGTAGTTTCTATTTATGTAAGGTCGTGTACTGTTTGAATACCTTTGCGCTAGGCCCATGCTAAAGTAGACAATCCTGAACGTGGTGAAAGAGCAGAGGCTTCTTACAGAGGCATCATACGATAGGTGGATGTGTGTCAGTGGCAAGACAGGATAGGGAGGAGGAGCTTGTCCTCTTGCCACATGTGGACCCTCTTCTCCGTTGCTCTACTTATTTATCGATCAAAGCTTATTGGTTTCCTACTTGTCAGTCGGAAAGTCGCATACTGTTGCTCAAGCTCTTAGCCGTTTACGCAAATTGCTTTGCAAGGAATCCACGACGATCGGGATGAAGGCCCATCTTCTCGTTCTTCCTCCGACGAATGTGCCCGCTGAGGGGAAACATTCAGCAGCAGGGGAAAGTAAGTATGCGCTCGGCCGACCTTCGATGCTTCTGCGAGTGAAGTAACTGCACTGTTCGTGGAATTGGCAAGACAACAGGCTTTCTGCATCTGTTCTCGCCTCAGAACTTCCCTGCCCTGCCCTGCCCTGCCTGGAAGGCCGTCGAGCCACATCGTGCCAATGGCGGCAATCCAGAGCAAGATTAGAGCACCCGCCTCAGGAACTGTCTGCAGGGCCGCTGTTATCGCTATCACTCCTCCTGCCGACTCGTGTAGCCTACGGAGCTCCCGAACTTCGTTCAAATTGGGCAATACGCTGAAATTCTGTACACATGGCCGCAAGGCGAGTAGGTGCTCGGTTATTCGGGCGATTTACGTGGACGATGATGAAGAGGTGATTTTTGGGCTATTATCTTGAATATTGTTCCTGTATTTCAGATATGATCGTATTGATTCCACAGAGTCTGGCCGCCATCCAGAGAATTTTTGTTGGTGCATTCCGTTGATTTATGAATCATGATTTTTCAAAGACATAATGCAAAAACCCAGTGACTGCTGTAGCTTGTGAGCCTTCAGACAGGCTGCAAATGCAGCATATGTTACAATGTCGAAGCAGAGGATGTAGAAAGGAGAAATGACGGAAGAGAAATGGGCCCATTCCTGCAGGGCTACTTGTTGGATGCTCCAGTTTCAGAGGGCGACGGATTTTCTTTCAGCGGCGGGAAATACTCGAACGAGGTCGGCCGGGCAGATGAATGGTACTCTAAGGGGCGAATTGTAAAAGCCTATCCGGTAGAAGGGGGGCTGGAGAAAGCCAAGGATCCGCTGTTCGGACTTCCCATGGGAGAGGGTTCACAGACTTCGGATGACTTTTTCAGATGGTTCTGCGTAGAGGAAGGAGATCGAAGCAAGCCCGCTGTCCTGCTGATACATGGCTTCCCATCACAATCTTATTCATATCGGAAGGTGATACCGCTGCTCTCATCCGACTATCACGTCGTTGCCTTCGATTGGTTGGGGTTCGGATTCTCCGATAAGCCACAACCAAAGTACGGATTCAATTACACAACTGATGAATATGCCACAGCACTGGGCCTGCTCGTCGAAGCCCTGGATCTTGGCAGCAGCTTCACCATCGTCGCCCAAGGCTATTTTGCACCAGCTGCGGTTCAGTATGCCACTAACAATCAAGCACGAGTGGATCAACTCATCCTCGTGAATTCCCCTGTAACCGAAGGCCATGCTGTATTGCCCTCTGCCTTATCAGCATTCTCAGCCTTCCTCCTGGGCGACGTTTTTGCTCAAGATCCTCTCAAGGCCAGTGACAAACCACTGACCGAGTGTGGACCCTACATTCTAGACGAGGAAGATGCAATGGTGTACCGAAGGCCATATCTAACATCAGGTGCATCTGGATTCGCCTTGACCGCCATCAGTCGGGCCATGAAGACCGAATTGAAATCGGCAGTGGCCGCCTTGAGACAAACCTTGACTTCAAACCAGTGGAACAGACCAGTTTCCATCATATGGGGCCTGAAAGACAGGTGGTTGGGCTTCCAAGGAGTCGAGGAGTTCTCCAAGTCTGCACGAGCTCGGCTCGTGCAGCTGGAAGAAGTTGGTCATCATGCACAGGAAGATTACGGGGAAGAAGTAGGTGCAGCTATCAAGACATTGCTGAAGAGAACTGTCTCATCTTTCCAATAACTTATTGGCAATAAGTAAGAGAGGGGAATCTGATCCGACTTCCAACAGACTTGAAAACGCTCGGAGGAGTTAAGTATTTACACCATCCCCCTCGGTTCGGGGGCAATTCAGGCCCTGTCCTACGCTTCCATTCGGACCGATGTTGCATTTGAATTACGATCATCTGCACCAATATTGACCTCGTGGCCTTCTCTCCTTTGCTACGGCCACGAATGCATGATAATCAAGGGCATATGTACTTGTAAACGACAGATTGTCATATTGTTCCGTAACTCCCTTAGCAAATACCTGTTTCCCACTAATCAATGGATTGTATTTTACACAGTAGATGGTGGTTATCATACGTCCGATCAAAGTGAACGAACCCGCTCGGAACATCTGTGTTCGTATTCTTTCTACTTCATATATTTGTTGAAGGAAGGCATTAGTAGTGAGGGTGATTCGCGTCTTTTTACTGCCTGTAACGCAGTACAGAAATTGTGTATCATATTGTCATCATTGTGGAAGAAACGATAAATTCTTCCTCATGTATAATATGAACCATCTGAATCGATTCGCTTAACTTTTCGTAGTATGTGCTTGTTCCTAGTCGAGTAGATCCTGGTTTCTATTTATCTTGTTATGTTGGAACCTTAACCAACACAGTGATTGAAGTCAATCGAACAATGTATATATCGTGTACATGACAATCATATGCAAACTTAAACTGTGCACATTCATCTAAAGATAATCCACCTCCGATGTAGTGTCCCAAGGAGTTTTTCTGTTCGAGCCATTCCACATTTCAAAGAAAGTGTGAGAAACACTAATCACGCTATCTCTGAAATGCAAAGTTAAAATGCATGCTTCTGATGGTAACCAGTTTCGAGTATGATGTTATACTAAAATTAAATTTGTTTCATCAGATTGTTTGAAGTAAATCTTAGGGTTCATGATAGTATGTCTGATGAGTATGCACTTCAAGTTTTAGTGACTATTCATTAACTTTACTGATTTTTAACAAATTGGAAAATGCAATTCATTTCTTCAAGGATGCGGACTTAGAAACTCAGTTCTGTGGTGTATGATAGAATATAGTGTTCTTTTAGTCTCACATGTTATCATTGATAATGCCTAGTTTGCGACTACACTTCAGTCAGTGAATGTAAAGCCATTCTCACTGAGATGTACTAATGGTAATGGTAATTAATCAAGCCCGGGACCCGAAGGGTGAAAAGGCTAAAAGAACACAAAACAAATCATACTATCGATACCAAGGGGAGAAACTCCTTTATAGCGGCAATGTAAAGCCATTCTCACTGAGATGTACTAATGGTAATGGTAATTAATCAAGCCCGGGACCCGAAGGGTGAAAAGGCTAAAAGAACACAAAACAAATCATACTATCGATACCAAGGGGAGAAACTCCTTTATAGCGGCAAGGATTGACAACATCTCTAAAGAAGCAACCTAAATAGTAAGGATCTAGCGGAAACAAGGAATAAAAATTCTTTACATCAATCTAATGAGAAGTTATAATATCAATATATCTAGTATAAGTAAGAAACACATGCTCTTCATACTCTATATATCTACTCTCACATACTCAGCAAAATCGTTCAATTCTGTCAATGTGATGCCATCGTTTTTCTTCAATTTTTAAATTGTGAGATTACGTTCAATGTCGTGCAATAATATGACGTAAAGAAGTAGAAATCCCAGCAAGAAGATATCCTTGTTGACAGTGAAAAAGCATAGTGTTTACATGAAGTTTGTAGAACTCCATTTGTTGTCGGGTTGAGAGTTTTTTACTGTAGATGTTGGCAAAGTGCAAATGGTTGCATGTCCCAATGTCTTTCCTCCACATTCTATTTTGAGGACCAACTCACCACATCTGAAAACCATCCTTTGACATGTGTGTCTTGTAAAGCTTGATGAGGAAGTCGAGAAGGACTAAGAGATTTTACATGTGCAATGTAATTGATGGTCAAATAGAGAGCTTCAACCTCAATATAAATAAAACTTGTTTCCTCCATTAGGATGGCATAGGGGTTTGGTTTCTCATCCCAAATTTTTCTTGAAGAATTATCTCTCGAATCTTCTCCAAACGCTCCCATCTTTTCTTCTTACAACCAGTATTCTATTTAAATTCAGTGGCAACACTAGAGTCTTAAATAAAAACTTCCAAAGATTCTAGTATACAAGATGATCTCATTTCATATTCTATCCTATTTAACAGTGAATAGAGAGCTTTTTAACCAGTTTCTACTCTCTTTTGCACACAATGTGCCCAACTGTAATTGTGAGAAAAATCAATGCCTAAGTATTTGTAGCCCTTCACTTGTTCTATCTCTAGTTGCTTGTAACGTAAAGAAAAATTGGATCTAGTGCCAACTATGATAATTTTTTATTTTTCCAAGTTGATTTTCATCTCATTCTCGGTACATAAGTTTGCTAATGTATCAAGGTGTTTTGGTAGACAAATAAGACGATATCATCTGCATACTATGAGCTTTGATAATAAAGTCTCAAAGCTTGACACATTCACTCTTACTTTTGTCTAACCATCTTTCTATATCATCTATGAAAATCCCAAATAAAGCTGAAGAGAGAGTACAACCTTGAATGACTCTAATGGTACTCATGATTTCTGTTGGTTGAAAAGTGTTGATCTTGGCTTGAACTGAATTGTATAACGTGGCCACTACTTGTAAGAGATTAGGCAGTACTCCTATGTCTTGTAAACTTTCCTGTAAAAGCTTGCGAGACACAGTGTCAAAAGCTTTCTTGAAATCTATGAAGTCACAAAACAGAGCTTTAACCTCGAGCTTAGATTTTTCCCATAATACACGTAGCAGTAGAATATGGTCATCAACGTTGTATGTTAGGCGAAAAACTGGCTTGAACTCTTGATCTCTTTTGAAAACACTATGTTCATGTATTCAAGTTCAATTCAAGGTTGGGCTATAATTGAATTAAAGTTCATTATGTAAAATTAAATCTTCATTACTTTGATTTGATTAATCACATTCTCTAATTTTTAAAATATCAAATTGTAATGAATCAAGTTTGCCTTATTTAAAGCTTAATTACTAGAACTGCACATAATGATGAGTGAAATAACTTGATTGCTTTGATTTTACTACTGGTGTGTTAAAACAAAGGGGATTTTATTTTGAAGATATTGGTCGCTAGTTTCGTTTTGATCTATCTTGTTGTCTCAATTATCTAATTACAAATCAAAGATATATATATATATATATATATATATATATATATCTTATTGAAATTCAAATAAGAATTTTGAAACCAAATTTGACACGTCTTTTCACATCAAGTTACTAAATTATTTCTTTAAAAATTATGATTAATAATATTTTATTGTTATAGATTCAATATCTATAACACTAAATAATACAACAAGTATATTTTCTTATAGTTATTGATCAAAAATTTGAATATAAATATTTTTTAATAAAATGAATTTCTTTAAACAAAATTCTACAATTTATATTTAAAATCATGAATTTAAATATTAAGTTTTCATGGAAAAAAAGTGTGTTTTATGCGATGCAAATTATAATCATTATTGAAAAAAACAGAATCTTCATCTTGATTGAAAGTATTAAATAAATTAAATCTCCTAAATTAATTCAAATTATTGAACAAATTAATCATCAATTTGAGTTATTGACTATTTGAAGAAATATTTATTAATGAATAGTTTGCAGTAACCATTGATTTTCTTATATAAAAATATACATTGCTTATCACAAATAACATAAGAATATGTCAAAATTTATTTTATATATTAAATTTTTTTTCCCTAGTTCTATTACGATCAAAACAATTAGTTAGCAACACTACGGTATATGATTATTGAGGATCTTTAAAATTTACTTCATGTTTATTTTTATTAAATAATTTAAGAAACGTAGAAAAAATTCTAGCAATTAATCTAGGATCATGACCAAAGTACTACAATTTACAAAACTGTATTTTCCAAATTTATGAAAAATAATGCCTTAAACAAGATAAGTCACATAAAGTTGAGTGTTGATCTTGCGTTTAATTTTTAGTTGATGCATGTAATATAAACTACTCAGTTATTCAGGAAAAAAAAAAATTTATAAAAGATGATGTAGTTATATTATTCATGCAAACGATTTATTTATTTTGTGAAAATATATTACTCAACAAATTTTATTTAAAAAAATTTACAATTCATGAATAAAATCAATCAAAATAATTTGAAATAAAAATATGAGATAATTTTTAATTATTTATTTTCTTTTTATGATATTTATATTATGACGTTTATACAACATTTGATATTAATTTTGAAATAAGCCTTGTAATTTGTTGCTCGAATATTTAGATTGGATTGAGCAGATTACTTCATTATTATAAAATTTTATATTTTTATTCAAAATAATTTCAAAACATAATTAATTGGTGTGTTTATCTTTATTTCTTTTTTGTCATAGGAAGTAATTTTGACATTATTGCAAGTTTTAAAATAATATAAAAATGAAAGAGTAAAAATTTACACTAAAACTGTTTTGAAACTTTGATTGATTGTTTTGTAGTATATTTATTACATAAACTTAGGCATAAATTTTTCACAACAAAATATCCTTGCACAATCTTGATATAAGTGCATTATCAGTTTTGGATTTTTTGATATGTAACTGTATTTTCAACACAAACTTTTTTGAAAGAAATAGTAGAAAATAGTAATCTAGATGTACACACATCAACATGTCGAACAAAGTATACATCAAATAAAATACAAAGTCGATACTTTAGTACTAGCATTAGAAATATGTGTTGTAACACAAAACTAAATTTGAATTACTAGTCTAACCTAAATTATTTTAGGGAGGGGCTACTTATTTCTCACTTAGGGCTCATTAGCCCTCACCTTACTATTAGTTTTTTTTTTATTGGTCGAATGCCTATTTTAGAAGTAGATGCTACTCATCCCACGAACCTTATAACACTGTATCTACCAATCAGATGAGAGTTTATAGTAGAGTGAGTGCTAATTAGCCCTAAGTGAATGATAACTAGCCCCTCCCTTATTTTAAACTTGAATTTTGTGATCATCATAAATCAAAATTTTTTGGTCTTTAAGTTTTTTGAAATATAAGGAAGTTTAATCCAGATTTTTTTTCTTATACTTAAAAAATAAAAAAAATGCTATCAAATTGTTAACAATAATATCATATTTAGTCTTACCTTTTTTACTTTTTCATTAATACTAAATACATGTGCATATTTGAGATCTATTGATAACAATTTCCACTGTTGATTGCTTGCAAAAAATGACCAAAGCTTCCTATATATCACTTCGATTGAATTATTTACCCAAATTGTTCATTTATTCATCCATTTTTATTTTAGAAAAGGTTTTCTCTACAGAAAATATATCCACAAAAACTACTCCAATACATATCTCAAGTCAATAATTCTTGCTAAATAATAACCTTTTGTGATTTGTATGGTCGGATTTTATATGTTTTGGATGTAAGATATTACATATACTGTTTTTTTTCATGAAGACCGAGATGTTTCAAGATTTAATTTGCCATAGCTTGAAAGCACAAATCTTGAATCTTGTGCTTCCCTTGTTTCTTCATTGATTCTAAGCTTTTTTTTTCTTGTAAATGTGGCTCGGAAGATGCTAGAGTAACTTGATATTTAATTTTCAGTCCATGGTTTGAGAGATGCTATACTTTTGTATATTCAGATATAAAACTTCAAAATTACATAATTTACCTTTTTTTAATCGCTTGTAAGTTACAATTCCTTGTACATGCGGGGAAAAAACCTGCCACTAGTGATGGATCAGATCTTCCTAACTTGCAATAGTTTCCACTCAAATCAAGTTACTTACAAATGTTGGAATCATCTTAAATTGTAGTTTCTCAAAGTATTTTCAATCTTAGAAATCTTCTTAGAAATCTTCAAAGGATGTTTGGAAAAATGAAATAGTCTCAATAGAGTATTCAGAGAAAAGACTTGTACTGAAAAGTGAGCTCAACTTGCATTGATCTTCTGATAAAAGAATTTGATGACGAAAGTTGTCTATCTACTTCAGTTTTTCTTATTTAACAATATCCCAACGTAATAGCCATGTAGTTCGTGTACTAGAGATAGTTGAGCATAGATATACATTTTCTTCATCATCTTTATTTTTACAAAAGATGAAGTAGGCTAGCTATATACATCTTTTTTAAAAAGTGGTTGCATGATCACCATATGTACAATATCAGCGTTTTATATTTCTTCATCTCACATTAAATGACACATAGAGGATTGAGAAATTGTGTGTCACATCAGAACCGTTACGAATTTGGGCACAAATTCCTTTATTTAAGTAAATATTCGAAATTCTAAATTTGTTGGGAAATATTTCTTTGAATGCCAAAACGTAAAAGGTTTCTTTTAAGCATCTTCTATTACAAGTTTTTTTCCCCTACAAAGTTTTACAGTGTTTTTCAACATTCCAAACATACATTCGTATAATTGTTATATATATATATGGAGAACATTTATATCGGACATGATGATCCAACAATCCTTGGGGCCTGATCAGTAAGGTCTCTGCTTACAATCGCTAGAACTACACGATTACAAATCGTCACGGATCATTCAATGGATTCAGAAAAAAATATTTCAGATTGGACCTTATCCTTGTTCAAGCATGTTTAGACAACATTTCCGGCAAAAAGAAAAAGGTCATCACCTAGAAATGATAAAGAAATATGTCTCCCAGGAGGTACCCAACGTCGAAATCTTGAGAACAGAAGATGAATGCTTCACTGCATTCACAGCGTTTCGCATGTATATGATCTGCCGCATGTGAAGAAAAGAGCGAGTTAAGTAGGAAGAAGAATGGGAAGACCCATCAAGTAGTACAGGATGAAACCAACGGGTAAGAGGGAGCTAGGCCCTAATAGATCACAATGGGAAATCAAAACAGCATCACGTGAAGTATGACATGTACTTGAAAAGGTACCAAGTGACTTGAAGACGCAAAGTTTGATGTGTCTCAATTTTCTAGAAGATCAATTTAATGTGGAATTCGCTAGAGAACTCCAGGTCCTCGATACCTTTTGTACCTCGATATGTACAAAAGATATCAAGAGGCTTGGATGCTCGGCAAATAAGGAAGCACCACAAATCGAAAATAGATGAATGAAATTAAGACCGGATGACTCATGCGAAGCGAAAGTGTGAGGATACAAGTACGAAGGAAGGAAAGAAGGAGGGACGGAGGGACGGAGGGAAGCGGGGGAGGAAAGCAGGGATTGCAGGGACGCAGAGAAAGAGACGCAAAGGCTTGGAATGTTCTTCTGTGTTCTGATCAGGAGCGCACTCAGCGGAGCCTGGAGCGACCATCGCTGCGACTGATGATTAATTTTCTTGCCACGCAAGTTTTCTACCGCCAGGAGGACAAAATTGTAGGACTTATAGGAGCAGGCGCTTGCGAGAGTTCAGAGAGGCGCGTGTGCGGACGAGTTAGCGGAGCACGAACACAAGCACAAGTTGAGGAAGGAAGGAAGGTCTGTCTGTGAGGCATCGAAGGCATTGGTGTGTAAATTTGGATCGTGTGATTTTCTGAAAGCAAAAAGGAAATGGATTTCGAACTCAGGGCGGCGAAGGAGAAATATGAGCGAGAGCAGAGAGATAAAAAAGAGAAGGCGAGGCAACGTCTGGACCGAGAGAAGAAATTGAAGGAGGAAGCGGCCAAACGGCAGGAGGCAATCGATGCTGCCCAAAGAACCCGCCGAATTGAGGAAGCGGGTGCCACTTTAGATGTTAGTATTTTTTTCTTTTGCATCTCTGTCGTCCTTCCTCTCCATTACTTCGATGAAGTCTTTCGAGTCATGCACGTCCGGGTGGATATCTCTCTCTCTTTTTGTTCCAATTTACGCTGCACCATCTGACTCCGAATTGCAAATTTCCTTAGTCGTATGGGATTTTGCGTCAGAATCACGTCTAGTTCACACCGTCGAATTCCTCATCGAGCTCGTGTCCACCATGAAAATTATCAATCCCTGGACCCGATCGGACAGCTTTGATAGTCTTATTATGTTCCCTGTATCAACGTTTACGATTATGTCGAGACTGTTGCTCTGGCACAAATATTGTCAACAGAGGGAGAACCAATAGGATTTAGGCACCTGGAAGTGAATAATCAAGGAGAAGTCTATGCAATGTATAACCTTACTGTCGTGCTTGTTCTCACTTGCTGCTTTTATTCGGAATTCCGTTGATGAGGACTCTTGCACTTGTGAATGAACGAGATCTTTGCGATTATGGATTCTTTGGAATAAAATGATTCCGTGGGAAACCATTTTTTAACCCAGAGATGGAAAGTGAGAGCTACCGACTTGGAGTAGCCCAAACGGTTCAATCATTTGGCAACGTAAAGTAGTCGCATCGTTACTGAGGAGAATTCATATTTGAATTGGTTTATTTATTTCATGTGCACAGGCTCAACAGCGACAAGAGGAGGTAATGTGGTTAGGAGATGGGATCGTGTTCGACAAGGATTATCTTGGAATACCAGTCCCAGGCAATGGAGATAAACTTAAATTACCGGCCTCAGCTTTTTCTGAGCTTTCTTCTCAAAATGCGTTGGACAAGGGTCCAATGTTCTTTAAAGTTTCTGTAGCTTCGGAGAGGGCCACAGCTTCATCCTCATCAGGTAAGCTCGTCGGCATTTTTATTCTTACTCTGAAGCTGTCCAAGGATAATATACACTTTTGAAGCTTCGGTGGTTTCATTTAAATAGAATTGAATCGACTGGTGGTTTTATGCAGAAAGCAATGCATATCGAACGGAAGATATGGAAGCCAACCACACTCATGCCGGAGTCCTGGAATTCACTGCTAACGAAGGCTTCGTAGAAATACCTCCTCATGTCTGGCAGAATGTAGGGCTGGCCAGTGGATCAAGCTCTGGTTTAGCGAAGGTAAAAGTTTGTTATGTGCGACTGCCCAAAGGAACTTACGCAAAGCTTCGACCAGAAAATCCAGATTTTATCGATGTTCCAAATCACAAGGCAGTCCTTGAAACGAAGCTAAGACATCATGCAAGCATGTCGGTAGGTGATTTACTCACCGTCCAGCACGCCGGAGTAGATTATGGTCTGAGGGTTATGGACCTCAAGCCAAGCTTGAGTGTCTCTGTGCTAGAGACAGACATGGAAGTGGACGTCGTAGGTTCCGGTGATAATAACGAAGATGGAAGTTCTGCACAAAGCAGACTACTTCCCCTTGAGCTTGGCAAGTCTCAAAATGGTGTTGTTCCTGAAGGAGAATACAGATACTACAAGTTTAGTGTAGATAAGACGAATGGGAAGGCAATAAGCTCTGGGGAGTTGAGCTTGTTGGTTCATTTGAGTGTTGAGACCAGTGGGGGTGCCGCCGATGCAGACGTCTATATCGGTGCCCACCCGTTGCTATTCCCAACCAAACACAATCACGACTGGTCGTCACACGACAAAGGTTCCAAGGTTATAATGATGACATCTTCTGGCCGAGAAGTTGGTGAGGGCACATTCAGCATTGGAGTATATGGTTTTTCCGGAACTACCTCTTACCAAGTGCTGGTAGAGGTAAAACAGGCCGTTCAAGCACCTCCAGGACAGAAGTTAGGGACCAGAGGTTCAGTGAGTTCACCTTCCAGTTCACATCAGCAAGGAGAAGATGGGTTTGAAAAGTGTGAGAACTGCGCGCAGCTTATCCCACATAGAACATTTGCTCTTCATGAAGCCTACTGTCGTAGACACAATGTTATTTGTAAACATCCAAATTGTGGTATTGTATTAAGAAAAACCGAGATGGAAAAGCACGTACATTGTGGGAAGTGTGGTCAAGCTCTTCAGAGGGACGAGCTGGAAAAGCACACGAAGGTTTTTCATGAGCCCCTAAAATGCGGTTGTGGAGCGGTCTTGGAAATGGAACAAATGGTAAAGAATACCTCAAAACTTTGTTCTCACAACTATAGAGTCGTTTAGTGTAGTAGCATTGGTGAGAGATTGAGATCACCTAACTTTTAAAGGCTATCATGATATTTATACAGTTACAGTTTTCCAATCTTTGAGCTTGTTTCAGCTCTGTTTTCTGTTGACAGTTTTCTTATAACTCATTTAAGTGAGAAGAAAAACTGCTGGAGTGTAAACAGTAATCATTTTATTGTAGAAAGTTTATCCTCCGTAGATTATTGCTGCATCAGAGAAGCTGTTGCTGTCAATGAGCACTGTCATTAGCTCCTGGATACTATGTTCCTTACGTAAGCTGTTATTTTGCAGGTGGATCATCGGGCGTCAGTCTGTCCTCTTCGGCAAATTACCTGTCGGTTTTGCGGGGATATGGTTCAGGCAGGTGCAGAAGCTGAAAATGTACGTGATCGCTATCGAGGATTGACCCAGCATGAGAGCTCGTGTGGCTCACGCACTACACCTTGTGACACTTGTAGACGTGCTATTATGCTGAAAGAAATGGATCTGCACAAAGCAGCTGCTCATGGTGGCCCTTCACAGATAGAGTCCTCATTGCTCAGCGATAGTACACCACTATCAGGACAGATTGGAAAAATTACAGAGCATGCTGGAAGTAACGTACGGGTAGCTGATTCTCAACCTTACACACCTAGCCATATTGAATGTCCGATTTGTAGTAGAAAGTTCGATGGTCATGAGACTTGGCAACTCAATGAACACATTAATACGGTCCATTTATCGTCCCAAGAAGAGGCTGCTAGTGGCATGCAGGTAGAAAGCAGCGTTGTAGAAGAAACTGTAAATAGATTTCCTTTCTCTACTACAAAGAGAACATTGTCAGTCGCATGTCCCATTTGTGGGATGGCTGTTCACAGTGAGCGTGATTTGAGCTCACACATTGACATGGTTCATTAACTTCAACTTGAATCATGTATGGATCACAGTTGTTAGGACACTTCTGATGCTGCCTAAATTCAAAGGGCTCCATTCCAACGTTGTTGCTATCTAAGTCATCGTCCATCATCTCTAGCTCATGGAACGATGCTCTTCCTCCTGTGAAGTTCGTCAAAGCAGTCGGTTGGCAGTTAGTAAGTCGGACAATGGAATCTTGTTACGGACATTGTTTGTACATTTATATATTTGGAGACAACTTCTGTAAGGTCAGTTGCCAAGAACCCCGAGGTTCAGTTGTGAAGTCCAGGTCCATTAAACACGGGCGGCCAAGTGTATTCACTTGGGTGAACACTTTGTCCCTCAGTGAGTCAATCACATGTATTCGCCCGAGATATGTCACATGAGTGAAAATTAAGTTGTATTCATGGGGCAGAGCTTTGCTGCAAAATATGCGCACGCGTGATGATGATGATGCGAAGAATGTGATTCCTTCCCCGTCCATTCCGAGGGCTAGACAGTACCAACAAATCCCCACCGATATAGCCAAGCGTTTACAGGGAAACTTTTAGTCGCTTAGACATGGGTCAGAGAGTTCATGCTGCCAGAGGAACTTGTGGTTGACTATTTGCTGGAGATTGACTCTTACGTGATGTGTGGTGCTTTGTTGGGAACCTTTTAACATACCCCCCTACCAGACACCAGCTTTTTGGTCGTGGAGGATTCATTGCTTCATTGTTTCTCGCAACCACTTGCTTCCTCGGTCTGCTGGAAGATACTTCTCTCTCAATAATCCTATGCTTGGAGTCTGCTGGAGGTCCATATTCTTTGGACGATACTGATCTGCAGTTGACTTCGCTAAGGCTTCTTGAGTGCTCTTTTTCTTCCCTTCTTCGAGTAGATATGCATTGCCTACTCCTACTCGCTTGATTGGCCGCATGATTTTTTCTTAATAAACTTTCGTGGTCCGAATCGGAGCCGGTACAGTGTCTTGTTGAAACCTCATTGTCCTCAGCAGGAGTCCCGAGTGAGCTCTGCTGAGAGCTGCTCTCAATGGAGGTTTCAGTTGTCACTTTCGTTTCTGGAGACTCAGATGTATTTGCCTGGAAGTCAGGTGATTCGACCATGCTATCCTCTTCGAATGATTTACCTTCGGATGTAGAACTTGTCACCTGCTCCAGCCCGGAGAATTGAGTTTGCTGCGACTGAGTCTCCACTTCGACCGACTTATCCTCACAAGTATCTATGCTCGGTGACTGTAAGGAGCTGGAGCTTTCAAGTTCTGTACCAAGTTCTGCTTCTGTACCATTCAATTCGTTCGTAGGCGTGGTAGACCCCAAGTAGGTCTGCGGGTGGCCCACTTGACCCCAAAACCATCTCCTTAAATCGTCAATGTTGACGACTTCTCTCATTGGCAGTTTGGAATTGTGGCTGAATGAAGACAACTTTGATGTTCCTATTTCATCTCCGCTGTGCATGGTTGTCAATTTCGGGTAACTGACATCTTCGTTCAGTTTTCTTGCGAATAAACTGGACAAACTCTTTTTTGGACTGGAGCAAGGGAATCCAACTTGCCAAGCAGGTGTGATCTCCTCTGTAGCCATTTCCTTGATCCCCATTAACAAAGATTTCAACACACTGGAGGTCAGCCGATAATAGTCTTTACACACGCTGTTATTCTTCAAGAGGCCGAGGTTTAACCCTAACCGTGGAGGTGGAGAAAAGAGCTCTTCGAGACCTTCATCACTAGAGACTCTGACGTAATCACCTTCTGTTGTCAACACGAATGGGCGCGACGGCTTGAATGATTTGCGGTCTTGCCTAACTCCATCGCCATCCTGCAAAGGAGCATCCTGCATTCACTTCAAACCCGAGGCTTTACTGTGCGACATAAAGTAATGCTCCTTCACTCTGTACCACCTCACCAGAGGCTTTCACAGAGACTGTCAACCGTTGGGAGATGAAAGTACACTGGTCGAAGCCAATTTGAGCAGTTTCATGGAAAATCCTCGAATACATTTCATCAATTGGGCCGAGGGTAACTAGTAGGCTATGTCCCGGAGACAGACTTGATTATTCAAGGATACGACATCAATCATCTCTGAAATGTGAGTTGTTTATTCATTCAAGTTACGTCGTCTCCTCCAGAAAGATAAGATCAGAAGTTTCACTAATACCGAACACGAATTTGGCAGCAACGTTCACAACAAATATGTTCAGGCACTTTCTGGTGAATTAGATGGCACATACTCGTCGAATTTCGCGAGTCCCGGTTGTTCAGACGAGTTTCAGAAAGAGTTCGTTTGATTCATTCTAATTTCTTAGAGTTCGGAGCTTGGACAAGTCTTGGGGAACAGCAAACGAGCCGTTCGGATAAGCCCTTTTCTCGAGACGGGTCGCTCATCCGTACAATGTTCTATTTGATAGCGCGATTGTAAAAACAAATTAGAAACAGTAACTACAAACAAGGATGCCTCCTACACTGGCTGTCAGTTGATTCCCATTCTCTAAAGTTCCCGACTTGAACTATGTAGCACAACACCTCCAAACAGTCTCACAAGACGTCGCTGATAGTATGATGGCTGGGAATCAAACCTGAGAGTAATCATCCATGGTGCAATTCCAATCACTTCCCGCCGAGAATAGATGTTCGTCAAGAGGCTGCGGCTCCATGGCGCCCATAGCGCGGTACCGGGCGAACAAATCTGCGAAAGACATTATGCATGTACAAATTGAAAAGGCCAATGGAATCAATTCGTACTAGTTCACTCGAGAGACAAGATCGAAAGGTCAATTCCAAGGGAAAGACGTGAATTTCGTGAATTCCACGAACGTCCAGAACAGCCACAACGACTTTCAAAAAGCCTCAGCTCGTCTGAATGACATCGTTCTTCTTATATGTCCCTAAATCTATTTGTGCAATATATCCCGGATTTCTCAGAGAAGTGAGAAAACGAAAAAGCGTTATGGACACACGACAATGGGATATAATCTAACATGAAATTCGGTATGATGTTTTCATTATGAAAAGATTGGAGTTATTGGACCCTGGTCTCATCTTTGTACGGTTTGCTGAGGTCTTTCCGCTATCCCTATGGTCCATTTTGGCATCCGTTTCCAAGTTACGTTTGCTTTTGCACCATGCGAACCTTCTCTCAGAAAATTGTATTGCCTTCTTGCACTCTAGCAGCCTAACGTTCTTTTAATCTCACTTATAAACATGTTTTGCTACTCGCGCATTCTTTCTTCCTTCTTTATATTGACCTTAACATTTTCATGTTAGTTCACAGTTTGATGCATAATTTCTCGGCGTGCTTACATTACTCATGATTCGCTTCGCGTCGTACTATAATATTTATGTTGGGATAGAAGAAGAACTTGATATGAAGTATACAATCCAAAACTCAAGGACTTTCCTACTTAGACACAACATTTAACCTAACCCTAGAATCCACGGACAAGAATTAGTTGTTCTCCTCGTTAAAGATCTACTGAATCACAACACCTCTCTCGAGGGGAACACCCCAAGTCTTGGGGTGTACCCCAAGTCTAGCGAACCTCATGTAAATCTGCCAGAGATCTCATACCAATAAAATATAGATGTTTGTCAAACTTGTGTGCTGGCAGGGGTTTTGTGTATGTACTCAAATGCAATTTCCCCCTCTACAACAATGTTGAAATTTTGACATGTAATCGGACTGCAACAGGTGGTATAATCTAGAGCTAGTCGAGCAGTCAACTCTAGATTGCTACTTCCTGTTGCTTCGGGAAATGACTTATACTCTACCTCGGTAGTATTGTCAGAGCCCGTTGTTTGTTGTTTTGAAGATCAAGAGATTGGATGAATGGCTAGCACAAACAAGTAAGAAACAACAGAGCCACATATATTGTGGCAATTCATACAGTTGGAATTACATACCTATAGAGAGAAGTAGAATCATTTTTGTTGTAAAGAAGATCATAGTTCCCAGTAAAGTTAAGGTAGGAGAGTATGTGATATACAGAGTCCAATTGCGCTTGTTGCTATATATGCATGTAACGACTTACCACTCCAACGGAATAACACTAGTCGGGAAGAGTATTGCACAAAAATATCAATTTTACAACAATGTGGCATGATATTGTTTGAGATCACATATTGATCTTTTGAGAAGACAAATAAGATATTCTTGGCATGGCTACTCAAACCTCAGTGTTGTCTCATGTAAATCTTATCTTGCAGCGATCAATTCAATAAGGTAATTATATATCCATATGATGCAATTTTCATTGAGAACTACAGACAATTAAATAAGAGCTCCGAGAGTTAACAAACGTACACATGAGCAAACGTTTCATTCTAATTAATGCCATGTTTTTTTTCTAGTCTTCTAACTATCATACACGCTTTTAATCTTAGAAAAATAACGTCTAGTTGAGGTTTGATCTTGAAAATCTATCTAGATGATAGAGTTTGCTTGCCTTCTAGGATATTGAAGAATTCCCATGTGAAGTTTGAAACAAGAGAGTCAAACTCCTCTTGCATTGTTCTCTCCACAAAGTATTCTTGAGAGCTTCAATTACTGACAGTTGATCATCGATAGATTGTGACGTCTCCACTATGTTGAATGAGGTTTGACCCGTTACATGATAGTTATATCGCCAAAATTGAAGGAGTCTTTTGGTCTATCAACTAAGATTCCGTCTTGGACCACGATTAGAAGTCTTCTAAAGTAGATTTGTTTGTGGTGACAATGATAACGTTGATGAAGATGTTGATGTTGGTGAAGATGAATGTTGAGTCGTTTGGTGTGCATTCACTTCAAGATTGTACTTCTCTGGTTGCAACAATCTATGAGATGTTTACTCTTCCGTGTCAAATCCAGTGAATAGATCCACGAACTTGTAGATATATTGAAAATGACTTGGTACATTGTCAAAAAATGTTACACCATTTTTAGTTAAATTTAATGTTCGTAATAGAAGATTAAGAACAATCATAATCAGTTGAATCATGGCTTCTAAGTTGAAATTTTGAAGATACCCCTTGTCTTGAAAATTTTCTTGTAGTTTGACAAGTGAAAGCCACGGATGCTTGAACACCATTTCTTTTGGGGATAAAACCTATGCTTGGATGCACGGTGCTCCGGCAGATATCGATACAATCGTTCAAGCCACATGTCATCTTGCTCATGAATGACATGCAAGAGTTGATAATAATCTACTGTTCCGTCTGAACTAAATAGTTAGATCGGCCGTGGAAATCTTCAAGCGAAATGAAGCTCACTATGTTCACGAACAATTTATAGATTCTGCGACGATGTGCCGTGGGTGGTATATTATCGGGTAAAACAAAACTTGATATATCCTATCAAACAATTTAATTGTCCATGGGGAACCACGAAGTAAATATCTCACAAAAACATATAATTTTAAACAACATGAGTATTTACATACTATTTAAGTGTGCTCCAAAGCATTCCATGACATTATGCATACACATTGCATCATCAATCAATGAGAACCAAGTCAAGGTGGAAATGAACAATAAGAAGATGTGCTCATGGATAAGTTGAGTAAATCTTGTATATTTTGATATGATAGTGGGGTGTAAATGCCAAACACACACTAATGTGTGTTTGATGAATAAGATAAATGGGAGAATCATACTATATCACCATTAATTTAGTCGCCAAAGGGAGAGTACATTTAGGTAATTTAGGCGCTTGACATACGGTCGCCTTAATTAAGCATGCCTCACAATTATGTGACATAGTTGAAAAGTTATGTGAGAGATTAGAGCTAGGAATAGCTACTCGTGTAGACAAATCATAGTGTACTAGTTTGATTGAACTCCTTGCAATAGTGAAGAGGGTATATGCAAGTGTTGGGTGGTAGAATTCAGTATTGAATGTTTAAACAAATTGTAGATTGTTAATTTCTTAAGTGCGATGCGAACATCTGTCATATACAATCAGAGTCTTGTCTAGAGATGTCTTCTAGGAGAAATGAAAAGTACATCACATGCTTTGTTTTGACTTCATTTGTTGGTGTAATTGACTTCACTCAATGTTTTAAAACTCTATTTGAGGACATTGAAATATAAAATTCATGAAGACAGAGGGATAATTGTGTCTACTGTACGGATACTCTTTTTGGAAGATACGCCGATTGCAATAAAGTATGTTTACTTACTTCGGTTCATGATTGTAAAATTTTATGAAATTGTTCTATATTTTTATTGACCTTAGAGTTCATATACCAACTCTTTTTTTTATTACAGCAGTCTCCCGCCTAAGTATATATGTGCTTTGAACCTCGCAAGATTGTTCGTACTTGGTAGGTAGTTGCGTATTTAGATAAATCATATTTTAATCTTTTGATTCGGCTGCAATGTCAAAATAATATAATGTTAACGCCTATAAAAACCTAGCGATACAATATAATGGAAAAGTTGAGCTACACAGATGTTCCACTAAAAGAGCTCCAGCGCGCTAGTATTAGATTAGTGGAGCAGCTACAAGAAATGTGCGAGACAAGGTAAGCAAATCATAAAAAGATTTGTTTTAATATCTCAATAACATAAAGATAAGGCTTTCCATCATGATTGTTGTTTCTTTGAGGTTAAAGACATGCTTTACATTTAGATTCATAGATGTGTTGTGTCAATCTCTCATCATCAAAAAATATTACAATAAAAAAATTATGTATTTAAAATTTTTCAATTTTAGATACAGAAATTAGATCATCCTAGTAATGGCAAAATCAATCAGAAGCAAAAGGTGCTGCTTCACAGAAAATAGTTTAAACCATCAATAGACTGGTCTCGGTTTCACCCCACTAATTGCGTCATTGCCCCAAGCGCAGAGAGGGAGAGCTGAAGTAATGGAATCCCATACTGGATTGCTAGAAGCTTTAGACGAACGTTGGATGCTTTAGACGACCTGTACTGTTTATTGCTATAATGATACTGAAAATGTCTACAATATTCTAAATATCGAACTTGTTTTTTACCTACAACCTAAATGCAACCTTCTAATGCTGGATGAGTACACATCAACCAAAAATTGATTTCCAGACGCAAGAATATTCAAAACTTACAACAAATGAAAATCTATGACACGTTGAACAGAAAAAAACTTGAACCTTATTGTCTGAGGAAAATGATGCTTACAGGGAGGTTACTATATTTTTTTTTTTAAATTGTTAACGCTGGAAATTGTTTAGGTGTAAACTGGTTGGTTTCATTTTCATTATGTGAGCCAACGATAATGAGACTGAAAATGAAGAAGTTGTAGATGTCGGCTCCGTGTGACCGCCAACCTGGGCCCTAAGAGGCAGAGTGGAATCTCACATTCCAGTCGATGATGCGGTGGATATGAGAATGGACCGAATCCCGTTGCACAACTTGTAGAGGGCCCTAGATATTTCACATCGGCGGAATCGTCGGTCCCTGGGTATTGTAAAAGAATCAGAACAGTACTGTAGTCAGTCCGACACTGTCCAGGCCTGGAAAACTGAGTCACAGTGTCCAGAGCTGTTGACAGTCTTCGATCTTGGTTCCCCTCGTGAGGACCTCCAATGGCCACAAGATACAAGAGGTAAGTAGGCCAGTAGATTCAATAATATGAAATCGGGGGGAGTTCCCTCCATCCCGTTGACATAGGTACAACCAACCGTAAGGAATTTCGCGCCAACGGGACCACTGACTGAGATCCTTAGCGGGAAGTTCTCTGAACCAAATATGGGCTCCACGATCTTCACAGTGGTCGATCAGCTGCCGAGCATTGAATCCCCTTCGACATTGGTCGAACATGATGTCGAGCTCAGAATGACTTTGTGCGGCTCCCGGAATCGAAGGAGAGATTGTTAACCGACCTTGTTCCTCTCAATTTTCGATTCTCGCCGTGAGGGCGATTGGCTTGTGCAGCAGACCGTCTTGGTTTTTCAGCCCAATAAAGTCCTCTCGAATACTGAGCCCAGTTTGTCTGATGACAGCGAATTGTGAACCCGTACCATTTGATATCATTATGTAGGCAGAGTGCCACGGTGATCATCTTGAGTTTGTTTTAGAAGGCTGAGCTCAGATTGTTTCCAGCTGTTCAGATTTTCTTGCATTCTTGATATCTCCACATATGTTCTAGGATTGCGCTAAGCTCTCCCACTGTCCTGGAGAAACAACGTCTACCATAACGATACAAGTAGTCGTGATGGCAACTGAAACGAGAAAACTCTGTTTTCGTAGTGCACGAGAAAGCCTGCTAGTTTTCAGCACTTGAAACGGTGATAGCACTTCATTGGCGATCCACATTGCTCGGCAAGTTTGACAGCAAAAGTGGCTAATGTGCACAAAGGGGTATCCAGTTTCCACTTTCCAGTATTAGGCACTTGTGTGCCCTGCGGGATTGCAGTGTTGCTCTCTTGAGAGCCATCCACCGAGGTCATCATGGCACGGCGTCAAGCTCGTAAAAGCTCGTGAAAGCTCGTACATCGAGCTCCAATTTTGACGATTTGTGCATGGAGCGAAGTTTCTCTAAGACCGAAAAGAGAAGCAGGCATCCGGGAAACACAGGCTGCAGGCTGGTGTAGAAGTGCACTAGCACACGAGCTGTTCTGAGCTGACACCACTCTTGAGCTGTAATCCCAGGGGCAGCTTCGCAAACACTTGCAGAGATGCAGATGCCATGTGAAACTCTCGATGGTCCATGTATGGTGTGCAAAATAGTGCCTCCAAATCACCAGGTCCTCATATGCGATGGTTGCGGTAGTGGATGGCACATGCAGTGCCTAGTCCCACCCCTTTCTTCTGCACCAGATGGTGAGTGGAAGTGTGTCGATTGCGAGCCTGGGACAGTCACTCTCGCAGACCCTCCTTCTGGAGTGGCCGAGAACGGTATAGTGAACCAGGTCCGAGCAATTCACGCCGATTCGTCTTTGAGCGAAGAGGAGAAAGCCAGGAGGATCATGAATCTGCACTGTCCGACCGCCTTGCAAATGCCCCGTGACACTGCGCTTTCAGGTCAAGGCAGTGACGGCAGAGGAAGGCGAAGTGAAGTTCGAACCAAGAAAACCGCTGCAATGGACCAGCTCAACGAGAACCTCAAATGCATGATTTGCCTGAATCTCGTCGACCGACCCGTCACCGTAAGTCCTGCTGCACCACCCATGGCCTTGTGCTGCTGTCTGCGGCTCTGTCTCTCTTAATGCTCCTTCCCTCCTTCCCTCCCTCCCTGCCCTCTCTTCCTCGACATTGATGACTTCAGCCGAGATCGCGCTTATTCATCGCTGCCAGGCTCCGTTGCATGTGTGCAGACGCCATGCGGACACAATTCGTGCCTGAAGTGTTTCCAGAAGGTGGTGTCCGGGGGAAACCACAAGTGCCCTCACTGCAGAGCTCTCATCCCCCCGTCGATGAGAAACAACCCGCGAGTCAACTCCGCGCTGGTCATGGCGATCCGACTGGCAGCGCTGGCGGCCAACTCGTCGTCGACATCGTCCGTGAAAGCTCCCGCGGGGCCTCCCAAGGCCTACCATCACATCGAGAACGAGAAGAGGCCCGACCGGTGCTTCACCAGCGAGAGGGCCGTCAAGACTGGCAAAGCCAATGCCGCCAGTGGCAAGATTTTCGTCACCGTGCCGCCCGATCACTTCGGCCCCATCACGGCGGCGAACGATCCTGAGAGGGGCCAGGGCGTTCTCGTCGGTGAGAGCTGGGCCGATCGCATGGACTGCCGGCAGTGGGGTGCTCACCTGCCGCACGTCGCTGGCATCGCGGGCCAGTCGAGTATCGGGGCGCAATCCGTTTGTCTCTCCGGCGGCTACGAGGACGATGAGGACCACGGGGAGTGGTTTCTTTACACAGGAAGGTAGCATTGCAATCCATCCATCCATCCATCCGTTTGCTTGAAGATGCGGTTCGCGGCTTCGCCACATGCAGGCGATTCTCTGTGGGTCGGTTGTTGTCATTTCATGACAGAGGAATCGCTTGCTGTCATGTCAAATCGCGCATGTCGGCGTACAGTACATCCGAGTACGATACGCCGTGCTGCTGCTATGGCTGCCGCAGAGTCAACCAGCTGGTCAGTCAGTGCTAACAGCTCTTCAAATTCGACGTGGTGAATGCAGCGGTGGGAGGGACCTGAGTGGAAACAAGCGCACGAACAAAGCACAATCTTTCGATCAAGTCTTCGAAAAGTCGAACGAAGCACTGCGTGTGAGCTGTCGGAAAGGTTATCCTGTCCGTGTGGTGCGGTGAGTGTGAACTGTATGAACTGCAAAATCATGTCACTCCATGCCTGTGCTTGCCAACAGTCTTCTTAGATGTGAACTGGCTTGCGGGCCTGAATGGATCAAGTTCATATCGGGGGGTCTGGGAAATTATTAGCATCTAACGAATTCCGTGTGCCTCTTGGGCAGATCGCACAAGGAGAAGCGATCTTCTTACGCTCCGGAGACTGCCTGTGTTCGGTACGATGGCATTTACCGAATTGAGATGTGTTGGAGGAAGGAGGGGATTCAGGTAACCCTCAAAATACTTAAGTGGATAATTTAGGTGGACAAACGCTATGAGAATGACTGCGACCTTATTTCATTCTCATACGCATTTCATCAAGTATATCGTGGTAGCTATCACATTTCGACTGATCACTTCGAGCTTAGGACTTGAGCTCACAGTGTATAGTCACCTCAGAGGCTACTAGGTGAATCGCACAGCTATGGCTGCTGTCAATATCCTGCGAATTGTGTTTCTACCTCGGTCCGTAGCCAAAAATAGGAACCCGGAATCTGCTGCCTCTGCTCTAGCGACAATGAGGAATGACGTCCGTGCCCTCGATTGTGTACAGGGCTTTAAGGTCTGCAGGTATCTCTTCGTCCGATGTGACAACGAACCTGCTCCGTGGCTGAGGTGATATGTACTACCCTGTCACGCCTTGTAGGAAAATATGCAATTGCACCCTGTCCGTGTTGCTTAATGGCCTTTCTGATACACTACTTTGCAGTGACGAGCATGGGGATCGACCTCGCAAGCTTCCCAACATTCCCGAACTGGAGGGTGCCGTAGACATAACCAAGAGAAGAACCCAACCCGCTTGGGACTGGAAGGTAGTTCTCTGTCTTCTTTGCCACTTGATCAAAATGTTCTTTAGCTATAGCTTCCCCAGGAGCGTTCAGAGAAGAATTGCTTACAACTTTCATGCACAACGATGAATTGTCGTGAAGGGCGACGTGTTCGCTTACGTGCTGGATTTTATTATTGGCTCAGGAAGAGGAGCTCCTCTGGGGTTGGACCATAGATCCACCTGGGAGTAGGATGAATACGAGCACGAAGAGACCGTCCCGTACCTTTACCGGATGCAATGTCGTAGCGTCAGCAGCCCCCAAGAAGAATCACAGCAAAAGCATTCAAAGGAAGCTGCTTAGAGGTGCCTCCACTTGCGATCCTTACATCCCTGTCTTGTTCCATGGTCAGCATTTTTGCCTAGACAGATAGACAGTCCATACAGAGGAGTTGACACTCCCTTTCCATATCCATTATCGGCACTCTGTTCTCCTGCATTCTGTCCCAGCTTACCTCCCAACTAACGCGCTGGTGTGAGTCGCAGAATTTGGTTGTGTGCTTTGTCACAAAGTGATGCAGCAGCCGTTGTCTACGCCCTGTGCACACAATTTCTGCAAGTCGTGTCTGTTGGCCAAATTTGCCGCATCAGGGGACATGCGAGAAAGGAAGGCTGTGGGAGGGAGATCTCTTCGAACTCAGAAAGTGAAGAAGGCGTGCCCGACTTGTCAGGCAGATATCACGGATTTCATGTCAGCTCCTCAGGCAAGTAACTAAAATTATCGCTTGTACTCAACCTAAATAGCATCTAACTGTGTATATATGATGGTTTCTAAACCTCACTTCCTAATGACTTCTTTCCACAGGTGAATGGGCAACTGGAAGACGTGATCGCAAGTTTACAGCGCAGTCTCGATGAAGAGGCCGAAGAGGAGGGAGAAGAAGGAGAAGAAGAAGAAGCTGCAACAGATTCTGATCATCCAAGGAAGAGGTTGAAATCTGAAGCTGAATCACTGAACGCGGATGAAGTGGTCAAGTCCGTCGATGAAGAAACTATAGCTCCGAATGCAGTACTTTTTGAACCTCCTGCTGTTTCAAAGCCTGATGGTATGCAACTTGATAGACTGGTTGTAACAGCCCCTCTGAAGAATCTTTCCGACCAAATGTCAGCTCGGGCCTCGAGACAGCCTTCAAATAATGGGTGTTCAAACCGACCTGTGGAAGCCTCGACCATCGATTCTGTGGCGGGAACTAAGGAGTCTTGTGTATCAGTAAGTGGAGAAGAGCACACCCAACTCTCCAATCAGCTTGGAAGTGTTCTCGAGGTTGAAGGGGGGAAGAGAAATAGGTTGACATCTACACCGACGAAGAAAAACGTCCAAGCTTCCGATGGACGAAGCAGCGCGGAGTGTGCTAAGAGTTCGTGCTCTTTAGAAGAAGCACGCAGCGTGCAGGAGGAATCTCCCTTGAAAGAAGTTAGTAATTCTCAGGATATGGACAAACGAGCATTACCTGGGAGGCCAGGAAAAATTAGAGTTACGATTGAGAAGATTGTCAAGGAGGGGAAATTGTCACCTTTAAGATCTGGAGTAAGAAGGCGGAATATGGTAAGGAAATGTAATGTCAAACACCCCGAAGATGAGTCCCCTGAAGAGGGCGATGGCGGTAAGGGGAAGGCCGATTCCAAAAAGAGAGGGTCTAAGGTAGTGGATTCTTCGCGAAGGCAAGGTGAGTGTGTAGTAATTTCCCTGTCAGATTCCGAAGATGACTCTGATGATGCCCAACAAAAGAGTGACCAGAAGTCTCGCGACATCAGTCAGCTCCATACTGAAACCGATACCCTGAAGACGTCATGGAGATAGACTCTCCTGCGAAGCCCGAGTATGGTAATCAATTCTAAAGGAATAGGACCGATTGTACGATAAAGTAACTTATTGATTTAAAGTATTTAGACAACCAGTGAAAAGTGTGTTTTGTATAAAACAAACGCCGGAAATCAACGGCGAGCTGGAAATTGCCATTTGTATATTATCTGATAAAGTTGTAAATTCCCCTGCTCTTGTTTTGGTATCGTGGTCCAAGGAGGACAATGAACAGCAAATGTAAGTCACGTGGGCGCAATCGTGGAAGCAATGCCCATGGCATTTGTTTCGTCCCGTGGACAATGTTATGATGTAGTGCAAATGTTGCGAATTCTGAGGATTCCCGGAAGAAGTGAGGATTGTTTCCCTTTCCTCACTACTAATCACATCAACGTTCATGATTGAGTCACACATCTCTTCCAGCGCTCCCACGAAGTGACTGAGATCCTGAAGAGCTTGTGTACGGGGCATGCAGAGTCTGTTAATGATAGCGATTTCTAGGAGATCTTTAGAGCTACCAAGTCTCTCGTCATTAAAGTTGCCACGACCTGATCCGCCCCACCCTTGGAAGATACAGCTCGCTTACATTCCAACTTTAACACTTTAGTAGTGATTGTAGTACACTCTCCTTCGATTCTCGCAAAGCTTTAAAGCTTATGTCCGGCGGGAGGGAAACATCGGTGTTGCCAAAGTACATTGCAAACTCCGCCGTGATCAAATTATGATCGTCGACATATACTGAAGAAGATGTTGAAGTGGCTGTAGCAGAGGAAGTTAGTGTGACAGGCACATCTTCACGCAATTCAAGGCTAAAGAGAAAAACATAATTTGAACCAGTTTGACCGTTTATTTTTAGAAAGTATATTCTCGTAAGATCACATATTAACATTTGTTGTTCCTTTCTTCAAGAGCAAATGAGCCTCATGCCAATGCTAGAAACTTCCAACTCACTGAAAACCATAACGAATCTGATTTTGAGTGTGAAGTTAATAAAAGTGATAATTGTATGATGCAATTTTTTAGTTGATATGAGTAATTATAAATTATGCATCACAAGATAAATATCAGTAGATCAAAAAGTAGAATGACATTTGAATGAAGATCAGCTTTAACAATTCAGTGCAGTTCAGAGTTTAATCAAAAAAATTATACGACAATGTCACAAGCAATGTAACGGCACCCATTGGGAATGAATGACCGGCTCAAGACCGGAACAGCGCTGCGCCATGGCAACCAAAGGTGGGCCAACGTACGGACAGAGTGAGTCGCCGGGAGGTTGGGGAACTCGGGAACCGGATGGGAGGGGGGACGGGAGGAAGAGGTCGGAAGCCGGGAGAGTGCAGAGGTCGGAGTTGGGCATTAGGGTTTAGGGCTGGGCAGTGATGTGGTTCTCTTTTCGTCTCGTCGCTCCTTTTTTCCGCGAGCTGCGATTTGCTTGCTTCACGAGTGGGGAAGCTCGTTAGAAGGAAGAAACTCAGCAAGCGCATTTCCGCTTCCTTCCACGGGACGGACGCAAGCATCAATCCCCAGAAACGCAGGAAACTATCCACCTCGTGCAGTTATCTGTGGCTGGCTGGCTGTCTGGCTGTCTGTGTCTGTCGGTGGGTTGGTCCGTCGTTCAGTGTGTATAACGACAACAAAAGACATTTATACAGATTGATATTTTCGCAGTTCGGGAAATTAAGCAGCGCATAGCGCAGTGATCGTTCTTCTCGTCAAGATGGCGAAGCGGGGTTTGATGGAGCAGGACTTGAAGAATCTGGATGTCACCAAGCTGCATCCTTTGTCGCCGGAGGTCATCTCCCGACAGGCCACAATCAACATCGGTACGATTGTTTCAAGTTCACCAGCTGAGGGATGATCGCTCGCCCGCTATCTCACTGCCTGAACGCCAATGTCGCTTGGAGTTTTTCTCCGATTGATCCTGTGTATTACTCGACGTCTACCAGGCACATAGATTCATACCTTTGCGGACGGTCATAGTCTGTAGCTGGATGCTAGAATCAATTGTAGAAGTGAGGGATCCGATTGTTGAAACGGTGTATTTCCTGTGGACGGGATGTATTTGCAGGAACAATCGGGCATGTGGCTCACGGGAAGTCCACTGTCGTGAAGGCCATATCTGGAGTGCAAACTGTGCGCTTCAAGAATGAATTGGAGCGTAACATCACAATCAAGCTGGGTTATGCTAATGCGAAGATTTACAAATGTGAAGACGACAAGTGCCCTCGGCCAATGACCTACAAGTATGTGATTTACTCAATCTCTACGGGTTTGCTTAAACTGATTTCTAATCGCAATTTACAGTCTCAGACACGGATATTGATTTACTTGTGGAGCTTGAGTATCAGCTCTTCACGATGGTCAACACCCAGATTAAAAATCAAACGAAACAAGACTAGGTGACCCTACTTGCGTCAATCATTAAAATTATGTACTTACTACTCATATGCGTGCTTCTTGATTGATGTGGGTATCTTCTCAATCTCAGGGCGTATGGTAGTGGAAAGGAGGACGCACCATTATGTGACGTCCCTGGATTTGAGTCTACACGAATGAAGTTATTACGACATGTGTCATTCGTCGATTGTCCAGTGAGACTCTTCAATGATCACTTGTTCTATTGTCTTATCTCTGCGTATTGTCCAATATCTGCAATTCTATTCATCGATTGTAAGCCATCTTGGTCTTGAAATTCAGGGGCACGACATTCTCATGGCTACTATGCTTAATGGTGCCGCTATCATGGACGGAGCTCTTCTCTTGATTGCAAGCAATGAAAGTTGCCCTCAGCCCCAAACGTCCGAGCATCTGGCTGCCGTGGAGATTATGCGCCTGAAGCACATAATTATTCTGCAAAATAAGATCGATCTTATCCAGGAAAGCGTAGCTATCAATCAGCACGAGTCCATACAGAAGTTTATTCAGGTAATTTGTGTAAACTCTAAAATTCGTGAATCGGAGCTGAGGACACTAGAGTGATTATGTTAGGGTTTAGTACAGGAGGATCAGAGAGGCACCTACAGCAGAGTTGGGGATGTACCACTCGAAGTGGCCAGGTAATGTGGGCGGCTGTTTTGAAAGACCTATAGTTAAGCGGCATTGCCGATGGTAGCAACATAGCTCTCGAAGAAGAACAAGTACCAGGATTTGTAGAGCTAGCAATGGTGGTGGAAGGGACGTCAAGGAGTACAGTCTGTGCATTAAATCCCAGTGCAGGCTGCTTTACGAGTACTTTGCCTCTTAGTCACCTGTTACGGATTGCTTCTCAGCTATATTCTGGGCACGTGTGACCAAAAAGTGAGATCTGTCAAAAACATCAGGAACGTCTTCAAATTTGTTTATTTGAATTTCTCGATACTCCTTCGTACATCTAAATAGCGCATCTTATAGTGAAGAAGTAAAATATTAGAGGTCTCTCTTTTAATAAAGGTCTGTCTTGCAAGTCTCGCAGTTGTTACCTTCTTAAGGGTTCGCTACCAACTTAAAACCGTTTACATGACGATTTGCTTGATGGTCTACAGGGTACCATCGCAGACGGAGCGCCAGTTGTGCCTATATCAGCTCAGCTGAAGTATAATGTCGACGTTGTTTGCGAATACATCGTGAACAAAATTCCCATTCCCGAGCGTAACTTTGTCGCGCCCCCCAATATGATTGTCATCAGGTCCTTTGATGTTAACAAGCCTGGTGCCGAAGTTGACGACATCAAAGGAGGTGTAGCCGGTGGCAGTATTCTTCGGGTAAGAAATGGTGTAGGAAAAGCTAGAACCATGTGTCCGAATTCTTTGTTAGTGTCCTTGATGCATTTGTGCTAGGAAAGTATGAGGTATCACAGGCATCTAGTGGAAGCAGCAAACATGGAATCTGATGTCTGGATGGGTTGACGGGAATGGCATGATGCGTTACTTCTTGCCCAAGTCGGTATAGTTTCGTTGTGAATCATAAAAGCTGGGAATCGGAGTAGACTCTATGTTTCGTCACGATGGTCAACTAGAGGTGAAGAGTCGAAGAAGCATAGATCTATTATCAATCCTGACAAGCTATCTTACGGGAGTGAATTTGACAACCTTCTGCCTCAAGAATGTTTTTTGCAGGGAGTCTTGAGAGTGGGCCAGAAGATTGAAGTCAGGCCTGGTATCACAGCCAAAGATGAGAGTGGGCAGATCAAGTGTACACCAATCTACTCCAGGATTATTTCTTTGTATGCAGAGCAAAATGAACTGCAGTATGCTGTACCGGGTGGTCTAATTGGAGTTGGAACCACCATTGATCCCACCTTGACCCGTGCTGATAGGCTGGTGGGTCAAGTACTGGGAGAAGTAGATGCTCTGCCTGACGTGTTCGTGGAGCTCGAGGTATGTAGTGCTTCTCATGTCATCGTCTGAGCATTTGTTCAAGTTCAGTTATTTCAAATTATCGCTCATTCATTCCATATGTATTGTGTAAGTTCGTCATTTATATTTCGTATTGTATCTTCCTGCTGATTTTATTGCTATATTCTGTAGCGTTTTATCGACACCTGATGTTACTGTAATCACTCTTAACTTTTTTCGACGACCTTTTTTGTAAATAATCCGTATAATTTTTATCTTACTTTATAAATACTGAGCCGGTCTATCGATTGACTGGTCTATGTTCTTCAAAGTATGGGGAGTTTGTCAGATATTACTGCATGATGAGCGCCCGTCTTATTGTTCTCTGTGCATAGTTACTGCTTACTTTCTTCTTACTCTTGTTCATGATATCTTGATAGTTTTCAGTTTTTTATGCTTTTCCATGTGCTCAGCGTATTGTGCTTATATTTGTTTTCTCTGTGGGGTTTACTTCGCTGAGTTTCTCAATGTTATGTACTGCGTGCTTTCTGTACCGCAGGTATGATCACTTAACTTCGTTTGAGATCGTTCTATGTTTACAGTAATAATGTTTTATGTGGTCGTCCTAATCTATTAAAGTTGTCACTTACTCTTGTATGTAGTTTCTTGTGTGTTAACTGCATATGGTGATTATGGCGGGAACCTGAACGATCCAGCGGTTGTGGTCTGTTTTGTTCACAGGTGAATTTCTTCCTCTTACGACGACTGTTAGGTGTGAGAACCAAGGGTACAGAGAAACAAGGGAAGGTGTCTAAGTTGGCCAAAGGTGAAGTGCTCATGCTCAATATTGGATCTATGTCCACTGGTGCACGAGTCTTGGCCGTGAAGAACGACCTTGCTAAGTTGCAGTTAACCTCTCCTGTCTGCACGAGTAAGGGTGAGAAGGTAGCTTTGAGCAGAAGAGTGGAAAAGCATTGGCGTCTGATTGGATGGGGTCAAATACAGGCCGGCATGATGCTCGACGTACCAAAGGTTGCATAGTGAGTGACAACCTATTTAAAATTGGTTAAGAGCCAAAGCAAGCTACCGAAGAGAGAGTCGTCGAGTTAATAGAAAGGAAGCTTTTTAGAAAGCTAAAAGTTCACCGATGTGGATAGGAAGAGAGTTGTTGGGATCAATTTTTGTAAAGTGGCGGAGAAAACAGTACTGCCCTGATGTCTTATGTTTGAGTAACAAGAGTGTTTTGACTCATAGTAGGTTGCCCTCATTGGGCTGTTGGGTGTTGCCGACCAGCGTTAGGGAATGTGAGGCGAGTGGATCTCTACCTGTTTCGATAATAGTCGAAAAATTTATCACTTCAGCTACACGCCGTCATATTTTGCCGTGTTCGTTTCTTTAGTTGTGTTTTGTTTTAATGCATGGAAATACCCGTCTGGAGAGTGTTTCTTTGCTCTTATTCTATGTGTATGTCAGTGGCGGTTCTCATGTGTGTTTCGTCTCATGAATTATCCGTATTGAAGTCTTGAAGTACTCTCATCAGGCAACGACGCTTGATGCTGCCAATGGATCTCCTTGTCTTCAGATGGGGTAATTCACTGTGAATAATGCTGAACCCGATCTAATTACGAATCCTTGGCCCAGTCTGGTCATACTTTTGAGTGTTGTTTTGAAGTCATGGAGTTGAATTGAATTAGTGGATACTATTGATCAAAACGTAAGATTACTTCAGTTCAACCAAGATGAACGATCACAATCGACCCTACATTGGCTTTCACCAAAATCTCGATCTTGCACGAGATTATCATGAACGGTTTAACATTGGGCGTACCAGGTTGCAGCGGAATAATGTGAGATTTGCTTGCCCCATCAAAACGTAAATTACCATATGGGACCCATCATGTTTCAATTTACCCGATAAAAGACCGAGGCCACGATGATGATATATAAAATACCCAGGCCATGATATGAGTACCTCTTCATCGAAAACTTTATTGAAATATTTTCACATATAATAAATTTCACATACTTACTCATGGGACTCAATTTGAAAGCTTTTTTCCTCTCACGTGTCAGACAGCCCATCCACATGAACATGTGTGTGAGCTTAAAGATATATAGCCAACAGTCTTTTTTCCAACTCGATATGTATTTCCCAGTGCTTGTACGTTCTTAGCAAAGGTTTTCTCACAAGTGAATGAAACCTTATGCCATGTGAACCTTGTGCATGGTTTTCTTATAGTTGGTCCTATCTCCAAATTATACAGGATCTTCTGGCGAAAATTGTCTCTGATTAAATCAATCTTGAACCTGATTGTCCTTTTCCTCTCTCAGCTCAAATCACTTGAACTCGTCAGATCTGAATCATGTGCCCATCACTAACGTTCTATCTACATCCGCTTAATTAACCTTGTAAGGTTAATCAAGCTGCTTATCCCAATACTTCAAACTACCAAGTCAAATCTCACAAGTTGATATAAGCTCGCCATTCAAATGAGATGCGCTCTTTTTTTGAACAAAAATTTTCAGACATCTTCGGAGACACATGGTATCATCGTCGTACTTACAATGTCTCATCCAAATCTTGTAATCTTTGCAATTGTCCAACTGATCTTCACTACAAGTGACAAGGAACATAATAGCACAAGATCTTGTTATTAATCGTTTTCTCATCTATATATTTTTATTCTCATTTTGGCCAACTCTTCACAATACAAAATCTGCAGAGTAAATGTACATTTATTTACTCTCCCCCTATCCTATTACTACTTATGCTCCACCATTTCTTTAAGCAACCCGTCCTATTCGCATCCTACATTTTATGAAAGAAACTCTACAAATGCGCACTTTCTAAACTTCCGAAGTCTTCTAAGTCATATTTGAACAGCTTTCACTCATTGTAGCGGTTTCATTACATTTCTGTTTGATTACATGCATTAGCATGTAATCAAACAGCAAAACATGAAAAAAAATATTTTTTGTTCAACTAAAATTATAAATAAAATTTCCAAATATTCATAAATAAATAAATAAATATATTTATATTTATATCTTTTAATTTTGAACCAGCTCTATAGTATGAGATAGAGCTCAAGAGATTGATCAGATGTTAAGGTTAAAGATAAAGATGTTTTTTGTAAGCTAGGTTTGACTCTGTGGAGATGACACAAGGTAAATGATTTTGATATAAATCAAATAAAACTTTCACGTTCAAAGTTATCATAGTAATCAAAAACTTACTTTAAGTTTAAAATAGTCTTGTAAATAATCAAGCATATGTACTGGAAATTTGTCTTCAACATCATACATTTTAAGTGTTTCAAGAAACAAAAAGTCCAAATTAAAAAAAGTGAGAATTTTATCAAACACGGAAAAAATCATATTCTAAAAAGATGAGGTGAATTGTCAAGAGAATGGATAACTCATCATCTCACTACTGCAAATTTACAGCAGTAGTTTACAGCTAAAACTATGTTGATAAAACATATCAATTAACACTTTCGTAGCAGATTTAAAATATTGTAAATCAATTAGTTTGATTACACAAGTATTGAGCTAAAGCTATAAATATACCAGATTAATTTATAAACCATTGACTAACTATTGCAATGAATTTCATGACGTCATGATCAAATTTAAACTTGATCTCATTAATCAAAATTCTATTCTTAAGTCAAATTAATCATAATTAACATGTATTCAAGGTCTTTTTTTATTTAGATACCAACTTCAAGTTAAGACATAAGAGTGATACTCATCTAAGAGAATACTCTAAGATTATTGAAATAGAATTAGATGATAGATCTTTATAAACATTGTTTTTTGGATCTTCCATCATACTTTAGATTTCAAATAAAAATCTATTCAAACTTCATGTTAATTTTAATTGCATAGAAGTTTGACTGAGTGGCAAGTTGAGATTCTAAAACTTTCAAGATCTTCAATGTCATGTTGCCACCTTAACTAAGATATACTTCAGCTTTGTAAGATCTAGGTGTTGCGTAATTTCCCACCAAACAGTCATAATCCACATGACATGAGACATAAGAAATAACATGGTTTGCTCTTCTGGTTACATCCATGGAAACACAAACATAATGTTTGGCTCAACTAGCAGACTCGCCGTGCTAAGTAGTACAACAAAGACACAGATAGTTTTAGCCAAAACCCTAGAACTGTTTGTCTTGATCTTCTGAACTTCGCGTCATCGACAATGAGTAACCTCCGCATCGTTTCCGACTAAAATTACATCTAACAATCTTTTCCTTTGGGGTACTAGCAATTTCATTAATTTATATAATTAATCTATAGAAGTACTCAAAGAAAATCTAACAAAAGCTCATCTTTAAATTAAAGCTAACTAGAAGATACTTGAGAATCCATTTCACTCGTTTCCAATGTATCTTACTTCGATTTGATCCGTTCACTTTTCCAACGCTAGAGTAATATTGGATCTTGTGCACATCATTAAATACATGATGCTACTCACAATTTTTTTATAAGTAACACATGACATCTACATTGCTAAATGTCATGTGTTTGGTATGAAAATACTTAAATGTGTTGTCAAAGGAATCAACATTCTTTTAGAACATGTCATGTTAAACCTGTCAAGCACACTTTGAACATAATTGGTTTAACTCAATCATAGATTTATATTCATCAAAATTCCATTATTGTCCATTTTTAATATCCACTTGAATATACCCAATTCTTTATTGTGAATATAGACTTCAACTAGTTCTTCCATCTGTAAAATTTGGATTGGTTCTTTGCCAAGATGAACATGTCATTCATATAAAAACCTAGAATATTAAGATTGAAGATCTAATTATTTATCTTTTTCATGCATACACAAGTATCATATACACTCCGTGAAAATTGTCGTGCTTTCATGAACTCATTGGATCTTGCATTCCACTGCCTAAAGAATTCATAAAATGATTTTAGCAATCTACCAATCAATTTCTTTTGACTAATATTTTCAAAACCAATTGGTTGTCTCATATAGATAATTTTCTCTATATATAGTGTTGTTATAACTACGTACACATGATTCATAGCATATCAGTTTTGCTTTGAATCATGGGAATCGATGCAATTCATGGAAATTGCAGCAAGTGCATATAGCAGATTAATTGTATCATATGTTGCTACACATGATAAAACTTTGTTACAGTCGACAACTTTCTTTTCTGTGAAACCTATAGCCACCAACATGACTTTGAAGATGCTCTGCACATCACCTACTAAACTATCTTTTAGCTTGTACATACACTTGCAATCAATCAAAGCTTGAATACCTGTACAATTTTGGCTTCAACATTTTGCCAAGATCCATAATCTTCAACTTGCTCTTCAGCTGTCTCTTCTAGAACACATAATCACCACGTCCGTCGTATTTGAATATATCATAACTTGCTCCTCCAGACTTAGTGGCCGTCATCTCATTATGACGAATGTTTCAGGTCGTAGCTTGTATCCTTTGAATAAAAAACTCTCATTTTTTTACTCAATCTTAAATCTTCGTAAGAGAAAAGAAAGTGTGCAACGTTCTACTCATAATTATTGAATTTAAGTTGGAAAATATTTTTTGAAGCAATAATCTAGTGAGATGGAATATTTGATCAAACATAATGGTTTGACGGTCTTAACAATGGAGGTCAATGATTGTACGTACTTCCAACGAGATTGCATACTTCGTCTAAGGATTGCAAACCTTTCTCTAACGATCGCAATCTTCTGTTTAATGATCTGATGTCCTTTGTACAAGAATCGCTTGGTTCTGTGTTCAAGGATACTACCTTTTGATCTTTTCTGCTCTTTTGTTGTCGTCTCTCTTTTCTTTTCTCTTGGATCGGCTCTTTCATGATTTCTTGCTGACTAGAAAAAGTGTTACTCATGCAACTAGCGTTTTGGATTATTGCAATTGCTTTTCATCTGCCAGTATCAAAATTTGAATGGTCTCTGTGCCCTGCAATACCAAGAGCTCACAAAATTGCTATTGATATCAATCTTTCTTATAATGGAATCATCTTTCACCTTAATCTATCAGCATTAAGACAGAAAGATCTTCGCATTTGGGTGGTACTTTTTAGGGAGTTATATGAATTTGAAATTGTTCAAAAGACTTGTAAATTGTTGGTCAACTACTATATTTTTGGCAATGTCGGCCGGTTCTTTTGACGCTCAAATGTTGTTCATAGTGAAGGAGAAGAAGCAAAGGTACAAAATTCAAAAGAGTGTGATTAGCATAAAAAGTCAATAGCAAAATCTTCTTGTGTATTCAAATGCGCACCAGTGCAAAATTCAAAAGAGTGTGATGAGCATAAAAAGTCAATAGCTAAATTTTCTTATCTAGTCAAACGTGCACCG